TCCTCTGGACCCTCTCAATGTTGTCCACATCCCTCCTGAAGTGGGGTGCACAGAACTGGACACAGTACTCCAGCTGTGGCCTGACCAGTGTTGCACAGAGGTGGAGGATCACCTCCCTGGCCCTACTTGAGATGCACCTGTGGATGCACGACAAGGTCTGGTTAGCCCTGCCAACCGTGACCTCGCATTGTCGGCCCATGTTCATCTTGGAGTCAATAATGACTCCAAGATCCCTTTCTGCCTCTGTGCTCTCAAGAAGGGAGTTTCCCATCTTACAAGTGTGCTGGTGGTTACTACTGCCCAAGTGCAGCACCCTGCACTTGTCAGTATTGAAACGCATCCTGTTTTTGTTAGCCCACCCCTGTAACCTATCCAGGTCTTGCTGCAGTCTTTCCCTCCCTACTAGCGTGCTCACCTCGCCCCAAATTTTGGTATCATCAGTGAATTTAAACAGGTTGCATTTCACCCCGTCGTCCAAATCGCTGATGAAGAAATTGAACAGCGCAGGCCCAAGGACCGAGCCCTGGGGGACTCCGCTGCCCACTTCCCCCCAGGTTGAATATGACCCGTCCACCACCACCCTCTGAGTACGACCCTTCAGCCAATCTGCAATCCATCTGACTGTGTAGGCATCAATGCCACAGTTGCCTAGTTTTTTAATGAGGATGGGGTGGGAGACGGTGTCAAAGGCCTTGCTGAAGTCCAGAAAGACTACGTCCACGGCGACACCTGCATCCAATGCTTTTGTGACCTGATCATAAAAGGCAATCAGGTTAGTCTGACATGACCTGCCCCTAATGAAACTGTGCTGGTTGCCCTTGAGCATCATCCCTGAAGCCAGCCCATCGCAGATGTGCTCCTTGATGATCTTCTCAAAGAGTTTCCCTAGGATTGAGATAAGACTGACGGGCCTATAGTTGCCCAGGTCCTCCAGCTCCATCCTCACAGCCAGCACAGCCCCAGCTCCATCTGCTTCCCGCCTGCACTCCGATCAGCTCCACCAGCCCCATGGTACGCAGCCCGGTGACGGGAGGCAGAGTGCAGCTGGGACAACTCCCTGCATTCTCCCCCAAGTGCCACTGCCATCCCCTTCTCCTGCCTGATCTGCTGCTCTGCTTTCTGCCCCCTACCTCATCTGCCACTGTGCTGCCTGTCCCCTCCCCAGTCTGCTCTGTACCAGGCTGCCAGTGCTACTTGGGCTGCAGGTTGGCTGCCCCTGGGCTGAAACAGCAAAATTGTATGTGTTTGTGGCCAAAAACTTCAAAGAAAGTTGTGCTGCGGAAACGAAGGGTTAAGGATCTGAAACAAAACTGTTGAAGTGATGAGTCAACTTTTGACAGTTGTGGCCTCTTCAGCAGGTACAGAAAGTACATGTTCTTCACTTCTAATGTTCCCTTTTGTTCCACGACTAGGTCATCCATAACTGAGAAACTGATGTAAATCAGAAAACCAGGAAAGCTTGGGTTTTTTCTTTAACCGATGAATCAAAATTAGGTATGAGGCTGAGACCTTAGTTTTCAGATCTTGACTGTCATGGCACTGCCTTACAAGGGGACAGAAGCAATAGTAATGTTAAGCCTACAGAGTCTAGTTCTGACACCCAAGTGCCCCACGTCTGATACGAAAATTTGTTTCAAAATGCATGACCAGGGTTGGGGAGCTCTCAGGATGAGGTTCACATCACGCAACACACAGGAGTGGGCATACATACATAAGGGAATTAATGGGAGATGCTAAATCCCACCGCACCCTCTTTCAGGTTTAGAAGCTTGCCTAAAGACCCAAGCTATGTTCTGGAATTCACAGTCCGAAACACTCTGCTGGACTTAAGTGCCAAAGTTGGAAATGGTATCCAGATTGTAGCCATACTGATCTAGAGGCAAAAGGAATCAAAACTCATGGCAGAGATGATATCTTTTATTAGACCAACTAGATATTTGCAAAAAAATTCTTTATTTGCAAGCCTTCGGGCACAGGCACCCGTCATCAGGTGCAGGAGATTGCAAAGATATGAATTTTCATTTCTACCTAGAAGAACTTTTACAAAGTTGGAAATGGAAGTCTGGCATGTCCTTTTCAAAACACCTGCTGGATGAGAGAGGTTTTAGGTACCACCTTCAACATAGCAATCTAGTGATTACAGCATCCACCCAAGAAAGGGGAGACCTGAGTAGAAACTTGCATCACTCACTAAGGAGTTAACCTTTTAACCCAAATGGGAGACTCTTGGTTTTGTGGCTGTGTCAATGCATCTCATGTCTCAGGATAATGGACTGAAGCCCCTAACTATCTCCTCCCACCTGAGCACCTTCTTCACTTAACTGTAGAGTTGTGCTTATTCGTGCTTCGTCTCTTTGCCACAAGGCATCATGTAATGTGTTGTACAGTAGAGTGCACCTTCAACTGGAGGAGTGGTGAGTGCCTTGCCCCTGACTTGATTGTATCTTGTGCATCAGGACAGTTTTAGGAAGTGAGAGCCTGGAGTTTGTACATGGTAAAACTGAGGCAGGCACTGAACCTTGATCTGCTACTTTCTGCAGAAGAGCTCTAACCACAAGGCTATATATATTTAAGGTGAGCAACAGCATCACCACCTCCACTAGTTGTGTTTTGGAGTGAAAGTGGCTGAGACTGCAATTACTCGCTGTACTCCTTCCTGTCAGTATGTAGGTGTGCTCAAAGCAGGCCTATCAGATTGGCATCTTCAGTGGGCTTGGGCCTAGTATAAAGATCCCAAATGGGCTTAGATGTGAGGCAGTCCTGCCTACATGATGTCAGTTCTGGACACATGGGGATTTTGTTCTTTGCCAAGTCCTTTTTCTGCCTAGGAGGTTACAGCGAGGGTTAGCACTCTTCTGAGGAGTTTGTGAAGAAGTCCTCTTTTTTGTGCTTCTGGACCATCATGACCAGAAACAATCAGTTCAATTTACAGAATACAGATGCTTCTTTTATTTAACTAATCAGTTAGTTTTACATATTAAATGGGATTCAGTACGGCTCTTTTGTGTTGTATCTAACACTTAACCTAGTTTTAACTAATAAAAAAATAAATTAAAATGCAGACAATCAGCATTTTAATTGAAATCAGATTTCCACCCTGAAGAAGCTTTATGAACATCCCAAAACAAAAACGAATTGTTTGGCAAGTAGGTAATGATGAACAAGGTGATTATTGCATTTTATTATGTTAATATATATCAATCTATTTCTAAGCTGTATAACTGCTCAAATGTATACTTAATATATCCTTCAGGTCAGTAGAGACAAGTATCAAATTGGTACAGGTTATATTTAACTATCAATACCTGCCTTAATAGTTATCACCTACTGAGAATCTGTCATTCTTTAGGAAAAAAGAACCAAAAAGCAATGAATAAAAATAAACAGAACATGATTTCTTAGATATCCATATATTCCTTGGCACTTATATGTTTCTAACTTTCTGGTCGTTCTTTCACATGTTGCGATCTGAGAGACATTTCCATAGATTTTAAAGTTAATTTCCAAGATCTCAGTCTTACAGTGACCTCTGTTTAGTCTATTTGTAGCCCCTTGCAGGATGGAGAAAGAGAATACTTACTGATACATTTTTCTACAAAGGTCAAGTCAAAATTTATTGTAATACTGCACTGAAAAAAGTGTTTTTACAGAGATGTAAGTACTTATGCACGTATACAATAAAACATCACTGTCAAACTCAATTCCTCTGCATGGCCTTATTTGCTTTTCAATCAACTACTAGGGCTGTGTGAAATGTCACTGAGTGTTTCATTTCGAAGCTGTTTTGGTGTGTTCTGAGCTCAAAACAGCAAAATTGAAACAAAAAAAAAAAAAAGCACTGAAACAGCTTCAAAACATTTCGAATTTTGAAGCAGCCCGGTGGCAGGAGGCAGGGGAGAGCCAGGGCTGCGCTCCAAGTGGTTCTGCAGCCCCATGTTGCTCAGCCCGGTGGGGAACGCAGCCCTGGCTCTCCTCACTTCCCACTACAGGGCTGCGCTCTGATCAGCTCCACCAGCCCCATGGAGCGCAGCCCTATGACAGTCAAGGTCTGAGAACTAAGGTCTCAGCCTCACACCTAATTTTTATTTATAGGTTAAAAGAGAAAGCCCAAGCTTTCCTGGTTCACATCAGTTTCCCAGTTATGAATGACCTAGTCGTGGAACAGAAGGAAACATCAGACGTGAGAACATATTATTTCTGTACCTACTGAGGAGGCCACAGCTGTCAAGAGTTGACTCATCACTTCAACAGTTTTGTTTCAAATCCTTAACCCTTTGCTTCAGCAGCGCAACTTTCTTTGAGGGTTTTGGCCACAAATACGTACATTTGGCTGCTTCCGCTCAGGGGCATCCAACCTGCAGACCGAGTAGCACAAGTAGCACTGGCAGCCTGGCAAAGCGCAGACTGGGGAGGGGACAAACAGCCCAGTGGCGGATGGGGCAGGGAGCAGAAAACAGAGCAACAGATCAGGCAGGGGAAGGGGATGACAAATGACACCTGGGGGAGGATGCAGGGATAAGCTGTGACACACCTGCCCAAAACAGTTGCCCCTCGCTGTTTAAGACGGTGCTAAGGAAATTCAGGCCTTCAGCCAGGCCTATCTGATGTGCCACACACAAGTATACATGCCCCTACACACACACAATCCTTTTGGGACCCTGCACCATTGCCACCTGTCACCAGCAGCCCTGCACACACATGCAGAGGGCCCCGCCAATCCCAGACTTCATGTCTCTACCCTGCCCTTGTGGACCCCCATTGCCATTTCCCCCCAAAACACAGAGCCCATGGGCGAGGACCGCCCCCCGCCTATGACACCTCTGATGCTGCCCCCACGTGGCCGCCCGCGGGCCTGTTCCACTCAGAGCGGGGGGGGAGGGGTTCCTGCCCCCCACCCCAATGGATGCGCCTGGCCGGCCCTGGGCCCCTGCGGCCCCGCAGCGGAGGGAGGCCCGAGGCCGCCTCCAGCCCCGCCACCGCTGCCGCCGCGCCCCGCTCACGTTCTCGTCGCCGGACAGGTCCCCGGGGTTGCTGTTCTCGTCGCTGCTCAGCTTCTGCTTCTTGGCCGGCATCTCGCTGCCCGCGCCCGCCGCCGGCGCCTCTCCCCGCTCAGACATCTTCCCCGCCCCCCGCCACGCCGCCGCAAAGCGCGCCCGGGCGGGCGAGAGCATACACGCTGCCGTAAAGCGCTGCCCCCCACCTTTGCGCCGTGTCGTAACGCGCAGCGGCCACACTGCGGAAAAACCCCCACCCGCCTGCGTGCAGGGGCTGAGCAGCTTTAGGCGGGGCGGGAGGGGGGCAGGGCTGTCTCGGGTCCAGGGAACTCGGGTTCATATGCACGTTGTCATGTGCATTATGGCCCATCTCCAGGTCCAGCTCCTGCAGCCCCTCTGCCAGTGCTTGTGGGGTCTCCTGTTGCTGGAGGAAAGACCTCCCAAAGCAAGGGGGAGAAGTGCCCGCCACCCTGAATTGGGCACCCGCATCTGAAAATAGCCACCGGCAGGTCTATTCTGCAAAATGGCGAGGGGCGTCATCCCGCAGCACCTGCCATTTTCCAGTTTAAAAAGACACTAGATGCTTTGTTAATAGGCCCCAGGGCCTCAGGCCAGGTTATTGTGTTTCAGGTGGAAGTGAAAACTCATACAGCTTGGTTAGCAGGAGTTAAAAAACAACTGGCAGGGTTGTGAAATAGGAGCTTAGTGACCAGGAGCAGCGAACTGCAGAGTGACAGAACAAAAGCTGGCTTCCTTGCTGCAACCTCAAGACCATTCAAAAGAAGAGAGGGTCATTAATGCCTGTGGAAAGAAGAAATCTAAAGTGTATCAGGGTGTGCATTCACCAGGGCACCCCAAGGGAAGGCAAGGTTGAATGGTCACAAACTGCTAGATGACTGTTTTACGTTGGACATAAGGAAAAACTTCTTTACCGTCTGAGCCTCCAGAGTCTGGAATAGACACCCTCCCCCCAGAAGTGGTGCAAGCACCTACTCTGGATACCTTAAAAAAATGCTTCAACGCTCATCTTGCTGGAGCTGACTTCATGCCCCTGGGGCAGGGGGCTGGACACGATGATCTCCCGAGGTGCCTTCCAGCCCTAATGTCTATGCAATCTATGAAATCTATGATAAATGATAATAAGCCATGAAATCAAGTGACTCCCACATGACTCGAAATGCTGCTGCCGCTATCAGGCAGTTGGTTTTAGACTTCAGGTGGAGAAGGAATCAAAGCAGGGTGTAAATGCACCAGTGCACTCTACCCCCATGGATCCACCTCTCCTAAAGCCAGTTTCATTGTCACCTAAAGAAACTGGGTCGTGTTCCCTGATCTGGTCTCACCCCCTGGGATGTTTCTGCCACGCACGCTAGCAGTGGCATAGCAACATTGCTGTTCTTACAATTCAGCATTTGTGACTTGTGATACGTACATGGCTCTAAACCCCCACCTCCAGGATTCATGTAATTTTAAACCATTAGAGTCTCAAAAACAATGGTAATCTCAGCTTTTCTTTTCCTTAATGTGACGTTTTAACCCAAACGGTTGCAAAGCAAAGCTTGGCAATGCAAATCCTAAAGAGCCCAACAAATAAAAGAGCCCAACAAATAAAAGAGCCCAGCGCATTTTAAGTTTCATCATTCCCACACCACAATAATAGGGGACTGACTTAAAGTTCTTGAACACTCACGAGTGACCCCATTGTATTAAATTTCACACTAAAGCTATCATTATAGTTCAGATAAAAAGAATTTTTACCAATCCCAGGAGATAAAAATAATCACACATTAGAACCTAGATGCTCATGAGACAGGACTAAAGATGAAATTAAAAAACCACAATGTTTTTTTTGAGCAAGGCTTCTTAAATTTCCTCTGCCTGTCTCCAATGTGAGTGTGCCAATACAGTCTAAGAATCCAAACAGAAATGCACGTGCAAACAGTGCTGTCCCTCCAGCCAGAATTCCCCGTGCCTTTTCTCCTAGACTTCCTACCTCCTCTCCCTCTTGCCACCCCTCTCTCCTCCCATCCTTAGACTCCCACAAATCCTACTCCTCCCAGGCAAGTCCCCATTTCTCTAATCCCACAGGCCCAGGCGGGTCCTACACCTGACCATTTCTAGCCTGTAGGGAAGCAGGTACCTCTGGGCAGGGATGGGCAAAATACACTCTGTGGGCCAGTTCTGGACTGCCCAAGGGACTTTATCCAGCCCACAGCAGGTCCCTGAGCCCCATCCAGTCCAAGCATGTGGGGCAGCTTGGGCTGTGTCATGTGTGACTGATCATAGAAAATGAGGGTTGGAAAGGACCTCAGGAAGTTATCTAATCTAACCCCCGGCTCAAAGCAGGACCAGCCCCAACTAGACATCCCAGCCAAAGCTTTGTCTAGCTGACTCTTAAAAACCTCCAGGGATGGGGAGTCCACGACGTCTCTGGGTAACCTGTTCCAATGTTTTACTACCCTCCTAGTGAGAAAATTCTTCCTAATATCTAACCTAAACTTCCCTTGCTGCAACTTAAGACCGTTGTTCCTTGTTCTGTCATCTGCCACCACTGAGAACAGTCTAGCTCTAGACTGAGGTGAAAAAGGTATTGAGCACTTCAGCCTTTTTTGCATCCTATGTCACATTGTTGCCTCCCCCATTCAGTA